TCGTGTCTTTCCGGTGGAACCTCTGGTTCTCGGCCGAATCCGCTCTTCCCTTGCCGGAGGAGCTCGATTCCGGAGCCGGATCGTGTCTGCGGAAGTAGAACGGCGTATCGGGGGCCACTGGAGTCCTCCGCGCGTGGTCGCGGGCCGGGAAGGGCCACTGCCTCCCCAGGTAATCACCGAGTACGTGGAACTCGCGCGGCGATGGCGTCGCCGACGAGTCGCACAGAGGGGACTGGTGACGCGGCGGCGTCGCCGAGACGGTTACGCGCAGCGGCGACTGGCGGACAGGGGAGGCGGAGGTCGCGGCCGGCCTCGGCGACGGAGATTTGGCGGAGCGGCGGCGCTGGTGCTGGCCGCCCGATTGGGCGTCCGTGTTCCACTTGAGATGCGACAGCGTGAAGTTATGCAGGGGCTGAGATTTAGCAGGGGCGGTGGACGCCATGGCAGGCGGCACAAACAGTCGTCAAAAGCGGACGCGTGAATCTCACGAAAACTACAAAATGGTTATCGCACCCAGCAGATTCACACACCTAAACACAGAGCTTGATCGGCGGCGAAGCTTCATCGGAGAAAAAACGAATTGAAAGGGGGCAACCGGAATCCAAATGGATGCTACGTATGTAAGTGAATCCAGGCGTTTGTATCTCAATAGTTTCCGGTGGCGTGAAAATTGAAGGAGCTTGAGAAATGGATTTAGGATTTGCAGAGAGAGAGAGAAGAGAGGTTTAGAGAGATAGAGAAGATTGCAGAAAGGAGGTTAAAGAGGGACGAGACAGTGCTACTACCGTGTGCCTTGGCACACCTAACAAGATGTGCTAAGACAATTTAAAATGAACATGTTATTTTATAAAATGAACATGTGTAGACACCTAAGTGTGCCAAGGCACACCGAGCTAGGTATTTGCGGGGATGAGAGGGTGGGGAAGAAGAAAAGCTACTTTTTTAATTTTAAATATTGCTGAGGCAAATCTAATTGGGGCTAATGTGGAATTTCAAAAGTTTATCTCAGTTTTAGGGTAAGTTAAGGAATGTATTGTAGGTTTTTTTTCTATATTTCTAACAGAAAAATTGGGGTTTTGAGGTTTTGGTTTTTCTAATTATATTGTTATATATTACATATGTGGTTGTTGTTAGTTGAGTATGATATGCTGGAATTCTTATTTTCATTTTTTTTTTTTTAATGAAATGGAATAGGTAAGAGGAGGTATATGCAAGTGTTCATATGTTTTATTCATATGGTATAATTGTTTTTTAAACTAGTATGGTATATATTAACTAGTATGTAATCCATGATACACATGACAATAATTATAAAATGCATATATCAAAGCAATGAAATTGATAAGTATAGAAATAGTTTTATTTAGTAATATTAGTTTTTTCTTTAATTTTATTATACATAATAATTTAATATATGATTTATATGTTTATTTCACTCGTTATGAAGTAGTTTTTATTTTAGGGTTTCTAATTATAATTAAGGATATTGAATTTAACATATTCAAAAAACATTATCAATAAAGATTACTCACATAATATTTCTCTCTCATATCTTATTACAATATATTATGTCGATCTGTAAATAAATTATGCTAAAGTTGAAAAATCGAATCAAATATTTAATTGAAAAATATTATAATGTATATTATTTTGAAGTTAAAAAATTATTAATTTTTAATACGTCAATACTACTTATTTTTTTCGTATAACTTATAATAATGTTAATTATAAATATTTCAAATTTTCTTTCTAATCTAATAATTTATATGAAATTTATTATGTTATTGTGAATCACAATATGGATTTTTACAAAAAATGGTTCGGTGCAGTTATTAATCAAATCAAAGGATATTTTCGAATCCACTGAATAGATAACCTTTGATATATGACTCGTTATCTAATTGTCTGCATGGATTTGCTATTAATGTTGAGATATCAATCACATTTGTTGTATTGTGGTAGAAACGTCATTAAGATATTCGCAATTGGTTTCTAAATTTATTTTGTATTTATATTTTGCAATGTTCTCAAGCATATTTCAGTCTACATATGGTT